TGCCATTCATGCCTTTCTCCAGTGTTTTTCCCGGATTTCCTCCGGTTATGCTAGGTACTTCTGTGGTTGTCCAGGGGCCCCGTGGTGTTGTTTGGGATTTGGGAATTTTGAAGAAAATTTGTTAACCCGTCTGCCGGATTGTCAAAGAAACTTGCGTACCCATTAGCCGTGCTCTCTCATGCCGACTTTGGTGATGCGGTGACAGATCATGTCTCCAGGGGTTCCGTGTTGTTTGGTGGGTCCCCCGCTGCCCTGGGGGTCGGCGGAAGCAGGCGCTAGGCCAGAAAACCTGAAATATACTGTAGGACAAAGACTTAGAACGTATTTTGGAATTTTTTCTTTTTTTCTCCCTGGTAAATATGTTCTAAGCGTATGGGTAAGAACATCGCCGACGTTCTAAGTGAAAGGTGTTAAGAATGTTGAGGCCATACACATAGAACATGAGGCCATATACATAGAACATGTCTCGCATGTACTCATAGAACATGTGGAAGGCTTTGTATAAACACCTGTAAACACTTGAGACATTGCAAAAGTCACAGCGCTCATGTGGAAATGCATATGTAGATTGCGTATAATTACACAGCTCACAAGCACGCGGCTTGGAAATGCACAGCTCCTATCCTCCTTTTGCTTCCACAGCTTCAGGTGGTCTTGCTATTCACCACTACCCCCTACACCAAGCGACAGGAACGTGCTGCTTGTGTCCCCATGTTCTAAGTGCATACACTCACAATGGAATCCATGGCACATGCATGATTGCTCTTTTGTTTCATCATAGAAAGCCTCCTCGTGTAGACCTGTCTTGATCTTTTCTGCTACTCCACTACGCCAGGCCAAAGACCTCAGGTGGTATATGTATATACAACCCTCTTGCATCTATCCATGTTCCTCATATATAATGCTCTAAGTGTGCTGATGCAGCATGTTCTAAGCGAGCAATCCTTGGACGTTCTAAGTGTGCAATCCAGGATGTTCTAAAAACGATGTTCTAAGTAAAGGGTTTCGGGTTTTGGAAAAAAACGATGTTCTAAGTATATGTCTGCAAGTATAGACTGACTCGGATCTTTCCTGCAACAGAACGCAATGCCCGGTCATGCACGCCGACACAAACGGCCCGATTCTCGCATGGCCGCCGCTTTTGGAAGCACGGAGCGAGATACACATATGTGCACGTATAAAGGTTGTTGTCTCCTTATCGTCTTCACACGTTTCCAACTTCCTGATTTCCAACAGCGCACGACTTACCCGGAGAAGCACGAGGACTGAACTACAGGAATCCTAGGTCCGACGTACTGAACCATTCGACGTGAAGAAGCGCGAGCAACCCTGAGTCCATAGCAACGTTAGGCAAGCTACTAGGTACCACTCCCTTCCAGCGACCGACTCCCCGGACAACCTCTAGCAGTGGCCTCCCCCCCCGACAAAACAAAAAAACCAAACGAGGGGACGCGAAACAGTCCCCCGGAAGCGTCGCTTCGGCCAGCAGTGCTGGCCTTGGTTCCTACTGGTCAGGATGGCCTCCTGCTTCTGGGTACTAAAGCACTTTGCTACTAATAGCATCCTAGACCGTAGTTTTGTGTGTCTTCCACTCCAGTGTCATGTCTTCACAGGCGGCGCACGCGAGTTATGAATTTGGGCGGGATTCGCCCATCGATGCCCGGCGACAGTATCACCTCATTTGCGCTCATGAAGAATGGCAGCCCTTCCTGCCATCGTTGCGCGAGACCCGAACAGGCCCCGCCAGGGACGCCTCGACCCAAAACTAGACCGCGTGTGAAGGTCCCTAACCCCCACTGAAGGTTGTCAGGAATCGTGGGGGTCGACGCCACCACAATCGACGCCGCTACACTCGAACACACTGTCCCCAACAAGACCCGATGACCGAGGAAGGCACGAAGCCCCGTAGCCAAAAAAGACCATGGAACAAATGGGTGCCCCCTATACACGGCGTATAACGGCATCAGGGAGCCGTCCAGGGCACCCTTCGAGCTGGAAGGTTTCTGCACGCCCGGGGCGCATTGCAGCAGCGCGTTCCGATCGCAGAAACCAGCAAGACAAATAGTGGGACCCAGGGACCCTTCTGCGGGAGGTGGTTGAGGAAGGAACAGTGAGTGGTATTGCCTAAAACGCATCTCCCCGACCACACTAAAACCGCTACATCTTCGCGTTCGCACTCCCATGGCGGCACTCCGAACCCACAAGTCCTCCAAAGCCGCGGGCAAGTCTATGTAGATGGCCACCTCGCGAGGCAACCCGAACCGTGCGGACCGGAGGTGCCCCGTCTCCGGTCTCCCAGATGTGCGTCAGCCCGCCCTGCAAGGTACACCCCTGGTACAAAAACCGTTCTGCCCTTTTTCGGGTCAAGGCGTTCGTAGATATCTATCTGTCTTGTTGTTGGTTGGGTGTTGTCGTTTCTTAGCCCTTTTAATGTGCCAGGTCAACACAAAAAAGGTGCTCACACCTAGATCCTTTGCTGACCTGTTTCGGTGGTTCTAGGCACTACACTCATGGACCCTGCATGTTGCACACTTCAAGATACGTATTATGCACTATTCCCTAGGCACAAACCAAGCACATGGAAGCTGCACCGTAAATGTCGCAGTACACGGAAACTTGCATGCCTCTGCTCTCGTAGCGTTCAGAATCGACATGCCACAGAGGTCTTGTGCCATATGTGGTGGTTGATCGATATTCTTTCCTCCTGGAATGGCCATTCATCGCGGAAAAAATGATGTCTTTCGCGAATCTTTCGCGGCCTCATCGCGAAGCATGGTCCTACAACCATGTCCGGCTAACCGGATCCGGAACATGTCATAATAGGGAGAGACATCTTGCAGCATGACCCCACATGGTGGAACGTTTCCACAGCTACTCAGGGTAACTTGCAGCTTCTGTGCGACAATAGTGCCAAATAGAGTCAGGCACAGCTCAACCCAATCCTCGTGTCAGCTACCAACCCATGGTGATGCAGCCTCGGGAATGTTGGGGGGGGCCTCAAGCTGGGAAACTACACTGCAGCGGCGCGCGAAACTTTCGCGGATCTCTCGCGCAATGTTACTGGCGCTTTCCCCGGGCAGCCGTTACATTCGCAGACATCTGCAGAGCCCGTCAGAGCAGCGGCAGGTCGTTGTCGCATTGTCAGGGCTGTGCCTACCCAGATGGCCAGTCTGTGACAGTGGGGACAGGAATCGGAGAATCCTTTACGCACTGCCAGGGCTGGGCACGGATATGTTGAGGCTTCAGTTCGTTAATCTGTGACATATGGAGGGCCACTTCGCCCACTGGCTCCGCTGGAGGATTGCCTGGCGTCTCTATTCGTGGAAAGAAAGCGATGACCCTCAATAAATCTTTCGCGGAAGAAATAGTTTCGCGAACCTCATCGCGAATCTTTCGTGGATGGTCCTACCAACATCTGAAGGGCTGTCTTATATACAACGCCTAACACGCGGTTTTCGATCCACTCCCATGTGGAGAACACGACATGACAAAGCTTGAGAAGCAAAGTGCGAAAGAGGTATTCAACAAGATGTGAAGAACACGACACGACCAAGAAGGAATGCCAAGAAACCACTGGAAAGAAAACTCTGCTCTACAATATCAGCTCCTCAAGAGGTCAGGGGACCTCTCCGTCTGAAGGGAAGACAGGGCGACCGACCGATCGTTCGGTGTTGTCTATACGATCTCTGCTGCCACCCTTGAAAACGATGTGGCAAACATTTCTCTCGGCCGCGCCTCGCAGTTAGCACCTCAGATACAGGGGCCACCGACGGTCCGAACTCCGAACCCCCCCCCCCAGGCGCGACCAGCGGCCACGGCGAGAGAAGTGGAGCATCCCCCTTCCTTGCCGAGGCGCGCAGGCCCGAGATCACACGACTGTCGTGCGGCTCGAAGGGCGAGAAGTGGACGCGCCGCCGATCCGCCACCAGTCCAGTCCTTGCCAGCGAAGCGCCGCGGAGCGGCGAAAAGACGGGGTGAACACATGCGCGATCTGCTCAGGAAAGGAGACTCCGGAGAGAAAGGCTGCAAAAAACCTGCCATGTCATTTTCACCCGAGCCAATGTTAGCCCCTCACTGCCCTTCCGCCAGGGCTGTCTGCTATTGGTACATGTCTGTCTGCACCAGCCGAGGCGTCAACACAGGCATGATCTGCCCTTGACAGGAGACCCGGAGACAAGGTGTGCAAAATAACAGGAATGTCATTGGGTCCCCAGGAACTTTCCGGTGTATTTCGTCACTGCCGTTCTGGCAGTACTTTCGGGAATCTCAACAAGTCTGCCTGCACCATCCAAGGCGCATCGAAACCCCACATGTTCCCAAACCGAGACGATACACATTGAGGCTACCCTTGAAAATGACAGTGACTGAGCAGGCCTTCGAACAAAAGGCACCAAACATCAAATGCATGGCCATGTCATCGCAAAGGTACGAACTAGTACCCCTTTCCATGAAGCGGCTCCCGTCGGTGCTAACGAGTCAGGTACCCTGTGACGAGGGATGTGGCACGGAAGCACAGGATTAATGCGAGCACCATCACTACCAGAGGCTGCGGAAAACCAAAGACAACGCCGACTGCCTGCGCCAGACAGGCCGTCCCCCGATGCGAACGCGTGGCAGAGGCCTCCGAATCGAAGCCACACTAAGTCTTTCAAGCTTACATATGGAAGTCATATGTATACCTCTAACCTGCATAACAGCTACTCGCACACAGGGAGAAGTTCCCACCATTAGACCTCAAGTTCCAGAAGTAGAAGTGGGACCTGGTGTACTTATCCGGGAGGTAGAAGGTACCAACAATAAGTTCAAGTGGCCCTTCTCCGGACATCTCATCCACCATTATCTTTCAGCGGGGTGCTCCGCTCATGACAGCAATAAATTCTGCGTACGTGCCGTGGTGCCCACTCTGAAAGGATCTCGGACAAATGCAGTCGTTTTCATGCGTTGTTTCTTGCAAAAACTTGCGCAAATCCAAAGCGAAAAAGTAAAGGAAACCTACTTCGTTTCTACTTATAACCTGCTTAGGTTCTGCGGAGGTTCTACTAACAAGTGCAGTCAGTAGACTTGTCACGTGTAAGCCGAGCTAGAACAGAACCACGAAGTAGGTGCCGCAGAACAGCCAGAAAAAATCTCGTGAGGCCCAAAGTCTGTGCTGCGTACCTCCGGCAGACGGGGGTCGTCCGGCCAAAGACGTGTCAGCAGGCGCTCATCGTCGATCGCCTGCCGAGGGGGAGCGCCACAGATCACGCGTGGGTCCCCGGAAAGCATGCGCGTCCCAACGCAACGAAACAGGGAAGTCACAAACATAAGCCTAGCTCGGTCGAAGCTCCAGTCATATAGCTCCGCACCGGGTATTTGACACCTCTATAGAAACCCTCTCCCAACACCTCGTGAGAAGGTTCGATGGAGCCCAGGAGAGGGAGAAACACGCGAGCTCCATCGAAAGGCACGTCAGCGCCGACGTGTGATGCACCAAATCCGAGCAAGGGCAAGTGATCCAAATCACAGACGGAGACGCCACCCACTGCTGCAAGTTTTTGACATGGGACTGCAGACGTGTCATACACACATCTACTCACAAGTATACATCACGTGCATATGAACTAGACTGACTCAGCTCAAAGGCCACGTGTTTGCTATGTGTCCATCACTTCGGTTTCCTTTAGTTCGCCTGCTCGCATGGTGACGTGTACAAAAACAGCGACGATGGAACGATTCCGCGAACTCCGTGAAATCCGCGCGCAACTCTCCCAACGGTGCGCCACAGGCTTCGAGGCCTCCATGGTGTGGCCGTTCACGGCTCGGAGCAACGAGGACCCCTGCCGGTGAGGGCAGCCAAGGGTGAGTCAGTGGGACTATAGCATGGGACATAGACCACCAGCCGGTGACCTCATTGGGGGGAAAACCGATGACTGCATACGCAAGTCCAAGGTCGGCACTGGCACCGGGCACCCGTTCGAGAAACTACACAGGACCCCAGAGGCTACTCAAAGATTGCGCGGTGCGTCCCGGAGTCGCTACTCCAAGACCAAAGCCTGAACTCCAAGACCACAGCCTGATTGAGCTGGGAACCCGTCCCAGAAGCCGCCCGTCCCGCTGCAAGTCCGCCTGTAACTGGAAGCGCTGCTTCTGGTCGGTCCGAACGATCTCCTGCGCAGGAGGCAGACGCAAGGCTCCGACTGCGTCCCCCCGGGATCCACTCCGCACCAAAAAGAACGCTCTTCTCCGGACCACTCACAGTTCTAGACTACATTCCCTAGAGATTGTTCCAAGGACAGCGACGAGCCCACGGCACCTCGATGTCCGTCAAAGAGCATCGGAGCGCGCGAAGCTCTGCCAGGCACAAGAGCTCCTGAGCGCTGGAGATGTGGGTTGCTGTCTCATCGAACAATTCATATATTATATCCCACTGACCGCCCACGATCCGTCTCCAACGGTCTCTTTCGAAAGATTCACGGCTGCTGTCGGGATACGTGACAAGATCTTCGATCATGATAGCAGCTTCCCTTTCTTTACCGCTCTATAGTAGCTGAACAGGAATAGTAGTCATAGTCGTTCTCGGTGTAAATTGTTGTAGCAGCAGTGCCAGAGGTAGTTGTTGTTGTTGTCGTCGTAGTCCGAGCGGTAGCAGTAGTAGTACTGGCAGTAGCCTACATAGTACGGGTCACAGTGGTCGTGCTATTGCCCTGAATAACGTGAACATGCCGGGCGGTCTCCCTGAGCCCCGTGATCGAGTGTTCCCCCCACACAGACGAGCGGCTTCAACCGGACAGAATCCGTCGTCACGGATCCGGATGCCGAGCGCCACAGCCTTGTGGCGAAGAATCTTGCTCAACGCCTCGCAGTGGCGGATCGGATGGACCATGGCACTTCCGGTTAAGACCTTCACTCCCAAAACTGTGGGGTTGCCTCTACTCCGACGCACAATCACTTCTCGGCAGGCGGGAGGCAGAAAGGAGGACGTTGTTTGTGAGAGGAGCGTGCATCATGAGATCGCATCCCTCGAATACGTTCGATGTCTGTATCTTGCTGTGCAAAAACAACACTACGGGCATGAGGCAGGCTGGAGGGCGTAATTCATCAGAGGCAAGTAGATCGCGCAATCGCATCCCTCGAATGCGTGGATGTCCCCGGGCCTTCGAAATCCGATGCAGCCGCTGCTCGTTGCGTCCGGAACTCCTGCGCAGACCCAGAGACGTGGAGGTGGCGTGGCCAAAAAACCTGACCGTTCTTTCTTTGCAATTGGACCGGTCACATTGGACAAACACAGTCTGGGGCGCAAAGCCCCCGTCCGACCAAAGAAATCCACTTGCTAGAAGGGGCACCGTTGTCCGTTCTGCACAGGCCGGGAGGCCACCAGTATCCACTGTCGACGCCTCCAAACGTGTTCTGTCTGAGATCTGGGTTGCAAAACCCCCGCCCGACAAAAGACATCCACGAGCTACGAGGGACTCTGTTTTCCGTTCTGCACTGGCATGGGGGTCACCAATTAGGTCGGAGAACCTGGTAGAAGGATCGCACCGAGCGCGACCCGCCACCGTCCACACCGTCCTGGAGCGTGTCGACGCGTCGCGGAGATGCGGCGCACAGGACGGCGCGGCCACCGCCGAACCTCGCGCGGCCGTTCGAGAGGTTCGAGAGCACCGTCACGAGGACGCATGGTGCTTAGGACCACCACGGAAGCAAGGTGGCTCGACATCTGTAGGTGAAAGCGCAAATACAAATCCATGGTGTGCAGTACCGCCGTGCAAGGCAGGCGGCAGGACCCCTTTAGGTGAAAATGACCAGAAGAAATCGATAAACTACGAACAACCTCTTAGGAGCGAGTGGGCCCTCGATTCCTCTGCCAGTTCCCACGCCACCGACGCCCACCGACCGCCGTCGGCGTCGAGCGGCGCGGTGGAAGCCGCAGGTGCGGAGCCAGCGTAGGTCGCGCCTGCCGCAAGGCTGGACATACCGTCGGCACCTTCTTTATTCGGAACAGGCCGAAGCAAACCTTGATAATGTAGTAGTTGGTGGAGGTAGCATCCCGGGAACACTGCAACAACGACCGGACAAAGCCCACAACCGCCATTGCTGCGGCCACGTCCGTTTGCCTACAGTATTTACAGCGAAGACCAACCGTGTCCTATTCCGGCCCTCTGGCTGAACAAACTTTCGACCAACATCTCCCTGCTGTTGCCAGAGTGGCGCAGCACTTTCGCCCGGCGAACAACAAGTTCGCTCTTTGCTTGCAAGGCTCCAAGCTAGTCAACAGGTACTTAAATGGATGTTCCTCTGAAACAGCATTTCAATGCTTTCGAGTATGGCAGGGGAATGTTTCGCGAGACACTTCACACAATGTCCGCAGTCTGTGTGACACTCACTTCCCAACCATGTTTTGCACATGACCCCACATGACACACTCGGCCTGCAAGGCAGTCTCTTCCTGCCCCAAGTTCCGTGGCGCGATCCTGGCGCCATCAGCACCGCCAAGCATGGACCGACCTGACAGAAACCACAGCAACGCAACAACCACGCCGACACTTGCTGCAAAACTCTTCAAAACTAGCAGTTTCAGAGATCAAGTACTCACTACTGAGAATTCACGGTTACTGGGCCTCATAGACCTGCTCATGATCCAACACACATGTTACGGGGGCAAACCAGACCTTTTATATCCGGTGCACAGTTCACTAACAGTGACTGCAATAATTCAGATACAGCATGGCAGGAAACAGCTATGGCAACAGTGGATGCTTCAAACCATCTAGAATCTATTGCAGCAAAAAGCCGCAAACGATTCGTAGCCAAGTCCAAGTACTTCACTGCGTCCTACCGGTTCAATTTTTGAAGACAGGTTCCCTGCTTCATCTGGAGTCCTACTTCCTGACGGTTGCCTTTACTCTCTTTGCGGCCCAAAGAAGATTTTGCTCCTTGGTTTTGCCGTCTTTGCCTGCCTCCCAGGCTGTGACGTCTGTGACGTTGCAGGAATATGAAGCTCCAAAGAACAAACAGTGCAGGAACCACACATGCAATATGTGTCAAAACGCATCCCGCCGTTCTGGGTCGCTCTGAGTAGCTGGGTCGGGGATGTAGGTGTGGCTCGCCACTCTCCTGCACACGGCCCCGACACGCCCCGTGATCCCCGATGCCCAAAGACTGATAGTTTCCCTTTCTTTTTATCAGGCCTTAGAGGAGAACTACTATAACTAATTGCGATGGCCTCCAACCTACTAGTGAGGGCCTGCAAAATAAACGTGGAAAATGTCAGAAGACTTCCAGAGCATGCCAAGCCCTATCCTTGGTTGCCTCAAGAGTCGGAAAGGTCCCCGTCGATCTACGGCCCCCCCTCTTTGAAGATGCCAACGCAGACTTTCAGTGTCATATCCGTGCAAAAGGCCATAAAAGCGTTGTATGTCGTAATGACGGACCCGGTCTCAAGTGGCTAAAATATTCGCAGATTCGCAGTGTTTTGATGTTTGGAATTAATTCTCATACGAGGCCTCTGGTGCAGCAGCACCTTCATCGATCGCCGCTTCAAGGCCGGCTTCCACCACCTCGAGCGTATTCGGCGCCGTCGGCGCGCGATCGCAAGGTCGAGACTCCGAGATATGGCCGAAGCAAAGTCCAGGAAACCAAAAAGAGTGGACAATGAAACAAGAACTGAAAGGGAAACATAACTATTAGCAATGGTCTGCACCCGCAAACCAATGGCCTCCAACCTGAGAGCAATGGCCTTCAATCTAATAGCGATGGCGTCCAATCTATAGTGATGGCCTCCAATCTGGTTGCCGAAGCAAAGTCCCGGAGAGACAATAGATTGGACAAAGAAACAATAACTGAAAGGGAAACGCAACGAGTAGCAATGGTCTCCAACCTAGAACCACTGGCCTCCAACCCGATAGCGATGGCTTTCAATCTAATAGCGATGGCCTCCAATCTACAGTGACAACCTCCAATCTTAGAGCGATGGCCTCCAATCTAACAGCGATGACCTCCAACCTAGAAGCGATGGCCTCCAACCTGATAGCGAGGGCCTGCAACCGTAAGCCACGTTGCAGGTCGCAGGTCAGATTTGAAGAACCACTGTCCATTTGCACATATGAAGTACGATGCAGTCCATTTGCACATGTGAAAGTACGAGGAGCCACAAAAAAGCATCACGAAAAAAAAAGCGTGCGTGCACCAAACATCTCAGGATCATGTGTGACA